TTAGGCCCAACTGAAAAATTCAATTTAGATTTGGACTCAGGTTTTGACCCAACCCGAGTGAAACCTCTTCAGGTACAATGGATCTGGACACATGACCTTTCATGTGAAATGTAACACCTGACCTTTCATGTGGAGTGTTAATGGTGTTGATTACCAGTTAATGGTGATAACTCCTGGTTAATTGTGAGTTAACACCTGAAAAACGTTTCTGCCCATTATCTCTGCCTTTAGTGGCAGATGTGACTGTTGGTTTCCCTCAAGATGTGGAAGTCCTATAAATAGGACCTTGAGTTGCAGAGAAAACACACAACATTGCATGCACTCTGAATAGTATCAAAAGCCTCACGCATCATATCATACTGCTTTGTTCTCGACTTCATTCCAGTTCGTCGGAGCTCGAATTCTGGTGTGCTACAGTATTCGAGACGTAAGCCATTGTATCTTTGGGGACGAGACGCCTGAACCCGTCAGCACTATACGGGGCGTTTTCGTCTTGCAGAAAGAGCAATCGTCTCGGCTATTTTCGCTTTCTCTTTTGTAATTTTTCGTTTCTGTTTTAGTTCAAATTGTAAGGACTGAACACTTCAGTCAGTTCATAGGTTCCCCTTGTAATTCAAAACACACTTTGTGTAACAACCTTTCCGTAACAAGAGACTAAACATAAACGACAAATCAACAAGTTGTTTAACACATAGGCAATACAGCTACGAACAAGCCTATTTTATACAAGCCAAGATAGATTAACTCCTCCCCTTTCGGTTCTAAGAGTCGATTAAATTAGATTAGAAGATGGTTAGCCGACTAATCTTTTATAATTGAAAGCATCACACAAGAACAAATCACATTCAATTGTGAATCAATTGTAAATTGAAGTGTCACTATTCACATTCAAGCATGATAAATGAAAACTCGAATTCAAAATCAACTCATATAAATTGAATAATCAACAAGCACGATAATCCCAAACGAATTCAAAACATCACCTCATGTCCCTAGCGAATCGAATTAGCTACTCAAATTGGATTTAACAAAATCAATCAAATTAACCCAAGCAATCATATTCATCAATGAAATGAAGAAAAAACTTACGATTAAAACGAGATTGAGAGTCGAATCCGAGATACAAGATTAATCCGAGAAAATAAAGAAGAATTTCAAGAGAAATTGAAGAGAAGATCCAAGATCTATGTTTTTGTTCTAGAGTGGAAAAATATGAAAAATCGAGACTATGAAATGTTCTACAAGTCTGGGGGTTCTTCCCAATATATAGGGCTCGAAAAACCGAACAAAAACGAGAAAAAACAAAAAAAATCAAATCTGGTCGCAGCAGGCCCTAGCGCCGTTAGGGGGGTCTAGAGCCGCTAGGTTCTGCCAAGGTTGACTCTCTACTGCCCGTTAGGCCTGTCTAGCGCCGCTAGGGGCTGGGCTGCGCAACTTTGCGTTTCGGGTTCGTTTGAGTTTGTCCGAACTCGGTATTTAGTGTCATTTTATCCTACGCATCGCCAACGAAGCCCTCTAATTAATTATGCTTGTACGGTCAAATTTTGCTCAAAATCCGATCATCCCGAAGCTTCCGACCTACACGCCATAAACGAAAAAAAAAACTAGAAAAGCACACGAAAAACACATAAAAAACCAAAATAGAGCAATAACACACAATAAACTACAAAAACAAATAAAAACCAACTAAATGGCCTAAAACGAGGGGAAAAAAAAGGTAAAACAATAACGAAAATGTAACAAAAATGGGACAAACTTGTTGGGTTTTGGTGGAGCAAAGAGCCTGGACTGCACTGCTAAGTTGGGTTTCTAGAATATCAAGCTCTTTAATATGGCCTTAATGTTGAAGCAAATATTTAGGCAACAAAACCAAATCTCTTGGTTAGTAAAATTCTGAAAGGGATATATTTTCCTAAAGGTTCAATATTTGAGGCCAAGAAAACATACAGGTCGCCATGACTATGGAATATTTCCCTAAGTGTAAGGGTTACATATCAACAGGGTTTTAATGTGCAAATGATAGATTTGCTTAAACACTAAGATCCTTGGGTCCCAGCTCTATAAACAAGAATATCACATATAAGAAAGAAAGCATATATGGGTTTAACTTGGGGGAGGCATTGGAATGAGAAGCTAATAAAAGCTACTTTCAGTGATAGGACTAGTGCAACTATCTTACAGATCAAGTCTCTGAATCCTAGCTTGAAGGATAGATGAGTGTGGGCCTTTGAAGCTACTGGGAAGTTCATTGTGGCGTTGCCTACTCAAAATACATTTGTTGACAAGATAAGAAGACTAGACAGAGCTGGGGGAAATGAATTTGCCAGGGGAGACAGAAAGGTGAGACAAAGAAGTTGGAGACTGGAGGTGAAAGAAAAAATCAAACATTTCCTTTTGTCAGTGTGGAAATCAAGAAAAGAGGAATTGATGTGGATATCATCAGAAGCAAGCAAGAGCTACATGTGGGGAAGATGTTGAGACCATTAAGATGTTTTTTTTAAGTGCAACAAAGCTCATAAGATTTACATGTTAACTCCAATCAAATGGGACGACATCCACTCTGATTCCTGAAAGTACTTTCAAGGCGTGGCGGTGGTGGGATGTTTGTTCCTTGGACGCCAAGAGTCTTCTGAAGACCAGATCCATATGACAACCTATATTCTATGATGGCTCTTTCTGAAAGTCGAATTTGTGGAAATTTTAGGATGTCTTGGGTAGCAGAGGCTACTATCATCAACTCAACCAGGACTGAATTACTGGAGTTTCTACAAGTTCAAAATTGTGTTCTAAATTGTCCAAGTGTTACAGGTTCTAAGGAGGAAAGAGTTTAGGTAACTAATAAGTCCTTTTGGTTCAGTCATTTCTAAGCTTTTTCTTCTTCGTTTTTTACTTGTTTTTAAGTCTTGTTTGCTTAATGCATTTTAGAGGTGTCGCAATGCACGTGCTTTGCGTTCAGTTTATTTCTAGCGACTGTTGGGTTGTTTGAGTTTAGGCCACTTTGCCGCTACTTTATTTCTAATGACCGTCTTGGGTTTGAGTTTAGACCAATATATATCTAATAAGTCCTCTTTTATTGTTTTTATATATGCGCATTCTTATGTCGTTCCCAAAAAAAAAAAGAAAAAAACTAAGAGGAATTTGCATCCCTTACAACTAGTTATGACTTTTATTACACTTATATGCCTTTTATATATTTATTTATAAAATTACCCAACTAAGCTAAAATTATTTCAATAATACCTCAATTTTGGATGTAACAGTTATTCCCTATTTTCTTGGCTTATTAAATGGTAATCCGATTCATAATTGAAATTAAAGATTTCTTTTACCTAAAAATTGAAACTCTTACTGCAAACAACA